TGGGAGATGTGCCTTCTTTGCGCAACATATGAAGCATATACTTTTTAGACTATTATTTTGACTTCATCAATCGTGAGAACTCGAATAAATCGGCCATGACATGAAACGCAACCATTGCATGGAAGCGATGGCGCGAACCGCCATGCCTGAACTAGCGAAGAAGAAATATATATATCAACAAAGAAGGCATTCAAACGGAGAACTTCAAGTCGATCAGCGAAAACGTGACACGCATTGAGTTTTTACCACCCATGGCTTGACACAGCTAAGTATGAAGCCTATGGAAATGATAGGATAAGCCACAGTCTATGGCTCAGATTGATATAGCCCAATGGACCAAGCCTATGGCCTAGAATTGCATAGCCCTATGGACCTGGCGCTTTGAGTGGTGGATGGCCTAGCCTATGGCCTAAAGCGATCGAGTCTCATAGGTGTCGCGCGTTGCGGTGACAGCCACCACCACATCTTCTTTCCAGCACATGCAATACTATTGCTTCACCGATTAGCTCATGGGTTTTTACCATTAGTTTATGGTTGGGTACCACTGATTCTGAAACAGTGCGGACCATTTTCAAGAACCTGTTTGTCTTTAGCACGGAGGGAATTTAGCGCATGTGCAGCAGAATACTAACGTATAATTCCTGAAAATGTCTCGTCTCTACATTAGCACCAGTGAACAACAGTGTGAGCGTTAAGTATAAGTTGCAGCAGAAGCACTTTTCCGTTGTGGCAGCAATGTGAAACAAATCTCCCCTCCCCATAGCAAAAACGTATGGCCTGACAGTGCTCGCTGCACAAGCAGCTGTAGTGATTTGAGATGACATGGAGAGGCCTGACAAAATGTCCCGAGTTCCATAGTGTAATGGTAGCAGACCTGACCGGCAAGTAAGAGGTCTGGGTTCAATTCCCGGCCGCCCCCCGGCTTTCGACACCTGAGTGCAGCGCTCCTTGCATCAAGTTGCCCAGCAGGCTGCATGGCTCTCCTTTTCCTAAGCTCAGCATTCGCTGCCTCTTGCTATTCAGCATTACGCTCCCTACGTGCAACTGAGTACTGTTCATCAGTCATTCTAGCCATTATGGCTAGCACCTCCTAAAGCACCGATTTAGGCACTTCGCACCGCAACTACAGTGGCAAACGCTATTTCCGCGCCAGCAGCAATCGTTAATTATCTGCAGCGACTGCCTCATCGCCGTCATGTGGGACCTCTTTCAATATTTTTTTTTTTCCCGTTCAACCTCACGTGGCAAAAATCTCTACCGTTTTGATGGATCTGCCCATTTGCGCGACGTATGAAACAAAGAATTTACGTTATTATTTTGATTTCATCAATCGTGAGAACTCAAATAAAATTGGTCATGACATGAAACGCAAACAAAATTTTTGCATGGAAGCGATGTCCCGAACTGCCACGTCTGACCCAACGGAAGAAAGTAAATGCAGAAAAAAAAACTTCAGTAAAAAATGTATTCAAATGGAGAACTTGCAGTCGGTCAGTGAAAATGTGACACGCATTCAGTTATGACCACTCTATGATTGTTACAGTCAGTTAAGCATGAAGCCTATGGATCAGACTGATATAGCTGGCACTAAATGCGTTGGATGGCCAAGCCTATGGCCTAGAATAGTATAGCCTGAAGAATATGGCGCTTTGAGGGGTGGATGGCCCAGCGTATGGCCTGAAGTGACCTAGTTTCCTAGGCCTCACGAGCTGGGGGTTACAACTACCACCACAACTCTCGGGCTCTTCGAATTAAAGTATAAAATGGTCTGGAAAGGCCTGGCCTATGACTCAGAAAGGCATTGCGTCGTAGGCCCCTCGCGTTGGGGGTGACAGCCTCGACCATCATCGCCACCACATCTTCTGACCTCTTCGAATTAAAGTATAAGATTTGGGCATGTTTCTTGTCTGGACTTCATGATTCTACCTGGGAGAGTAGTATGACCAATAAGGAAGTGTCGATGTTTATTGATTGCTACAATGAGGCAAGGCGAGACATTTGGGATCTACAAAACTCTCTGGTGAGAGGTGATTCTATGTGTAAGGGGAGGGCACTTTTGTGTCCTTTGGGATATGTGAGAACCCAATACCTCCATCTAGTGGCCTAGAGAAGAACTTCAAACGGAACCCTTTGGGCCTATAGGATTTCGTATAGGTCAAATAGGACCTATTTTATCCTACTCGACCCTACCCATAGGGTAGGGTCTATAGGAACCTATAGGATTCCTTTATGGTTATATGGTTATATAGAAATCCTGTAAAGCATTTTTTTAAAGGTAGCCATGCGCGCACCAGGTGACTTCTGCATTCTCGGAATCCCACTTTTTTCTTTTAGCTTAGCTACATGTTCGTGTTGCTCTCAAAGCAAATGAAAGAGGATCAAAAAGAAAATGAACTCGATTTTAGATGGAAAAGTCCCTGTCACTCCAGGGTAATTGTCATAATCCGTATCCGGTATGACATTAATCCATGACAAAGACGTGGCCAATGCACTAAGCCTTCCAGTGCCTCATCATTCCTCGGATCGTGCTAACCATTGGCGGGAGAGATGGAAATGCAAGCGGAACGGTTACGCCTGTTATGCCTCTGTCGCATTTAAATTCTGTGCAAGGAGCTTTCCTTCATTTTCCAGTGGACCTATTTCATTTGGTTTCCTAAATGTCGTTTATTACATTTGCATGCAGGGCAGCGACAAAATAAAAGTTTTTCTCCGTCGCATTCGACCCTGTTCTATCCTCTCCCATGAAACATGAAATAGTTCCCCGGAAGTGAACAGCCATCATTTCGTTTTTCAGTCTCTCACCACACATAGAATGGAAGCGGGCGGTAAGGGAGATGAGCATCTCCAGCGGGAGTGGAGAGGGAAGGTTGAGTCCCCTCCAACTCCAGGCAACTTTTCCAGGGTATGAAAAGCCGCTCGGCATGCTCATTCCATGGCATTCCTTTGTTTCCTCCGTCCACGACACTGGCTTTTAGAATTTATCCGTCACGTGAGGTTTCAAGTAACTTCCTGATCTCTCTTTCTTGATTACAGTTTCGTTGCTGCTAGATGGAGGAACGGAACTCTGTGGGAATAGTAAAAATCCTCACGGAACTTCCAAATACGGACGTACAGCGGTATGTATAGGATTGTACAGTACTGAATTGAGCCATGTTTGGAAACACTTCAGTCCGTATCAAATTTTGGCCAATTTTGCTAAATAAGAAACTATATACTGTATGGTTCATATACAGACTCCCATATAAGGGTAAGGGTGAAACGCACTGTTACTAAACTAATCCTGAATATTTTGAGTCTGATTTTCTTTTACATGGGCCAATTTGCTTATCTGCCCTCAAACAAGCACTGTTTCGCAGTGTACCTTAACGTCATGGTGAGAGTGCATCGTTGTAGCAACCTTTTTCTGGATATGAACGTACAGGGCAGAGTGAAATACCTGTTTGGTAAACCTCGCATCATGGAAAGGATTTCATACTGACGCAGATCAAGAAATGGTGAAATCGATGGCTAAACATTTCAGGGATAGCGCAGAAGCCCAAAATTGAAACATTTCATCATGACAAGGACTTCGAGTCAACAGTGACTTTCTGAACCACTTTTGGTTGAGGAGGAAGGTGAAATTTGCGTAGTTTCCATTTACCAATTGCAAAATAATTTTTTATTCCTAGGAACTGTACATGGCTCAAATGACTCATATATGAGCCACATGGTGAGAGATGCCTGCATTCCAGATCCCGTCGTATTCTGATGAGGAAATAAAAATTATGATCGTAAGATACGAGAGACTAAAGGGCATGGCATTAAATGCACCATCGACGAATCTGGCAAACGCTTAACGCAGCTGTGACCCAGTTGAATTTTGCCAACAAACGAGGCCAAGGAACGACCCTGACAGAGTACAAGCGTCAGAATGGCTGATTTCGATTAGCAGCCAATGCATGACGCAGAAATTGCCAATCTGAATCATCCTTGATGCATCCAGAGAGCAGCGAATTCCCATGGAACGCTACCTACGAGTGAATCATTCAAATCGTCTGCTAAGTAATGTGATACATTCTCATGTTAAGCTGTGGGTTTCATATTGCCTCGGAATGTGTTATTCTCAAATCCCAATCTTTTGCATCCCAATCTTTTGTTCAGACGTGGTTTTTCAGGGTCTTGAGGGTTTCGGTTGCTATTTCCTCCCATGAGCTCAACACTAGATCGACCTCAATCCTTCCTTCAAGGATGCATCACAAGTGAAAATTGTTTCGGGTAATTCATAAATTGACAAAATGTGAAGTTTTACGAAACCATGGCCCTGAAACTCTTCCATTGAAGTACAGCATCTCCATTACGAGGTCATCTTGACGGAAAAAATTTGTGATTCGATATTCATCTTGAATATATTTGCTATTCCTCATGACATATGTGAAATTATATTCAACTCTAAGAATGGAAGAGTGAACATGAGAGTGAAATCGCATTTTGAAGTAAATCACGTGATTTCACGGACGAGGAAGAGAGAAAGCAAAGAAAAAATGAAACGGAAGAAAACTGGGAAGAATCAAGGCGTTGCACACCATTTGGCATCAAGGGTGTTGCTTTGGATGAAGTTGCTCACGTAATCTGCAATGAATAAATATTTACTCATGAGAATTCCTTCATAGACCTAAATGTTTCCGATTGGCATCAAAGCACGTACTTGTCGTTCTTGTGAAACCGGCACCGTACTGAGGCGTACAAAAAGTGTCTGCAGTGAACGAGGCGACGCCAACGCTCAGGTAGTATCCAGACTGCGTTTGGTACATTAGAGAGCTTCCAGAGTCACCCTAGAGTCATGAAGTCAGTGCATTGTGAATTATTCTTCATGCATTCCATCTAGCATTTCCAACAGGGCTTTTCACTTACGTTGCAGATATTTTTTCCAGGTGTCTGAACGCAGATGAAGTTGTTCGTGATGCCGGAACCAAAAATCCCCTGGCAAGTACCTTGACTGATGACGTTCACCGTCGCTTCCATCAAAACCTGCGAGACGCTTGGGCTGCCTGAAAGGCGGTTTCGAATCTTTTAGTTTCAGCGAGGACAAGGCCATTATCCGCTCGTGTCTCCCCACGATAAACGGTGGACTTACTTCCTAGCGTGCGGCCCCATCCCGAGATTGTTACTGCCGAACCGGGAACCGGGTTGACAGTGGACGAGAGACATATGGGACGAATGTTTGGGTAAGCTTGGAAGTTCACTGGAGTTTGAAGTTTGAGCAGGGCCATATCATTCTCCAGTGTATTCGGATTATACTGAGGATGCATGATGGCCGTTGCTGAAACTTGTATGGCTTGACCTGCTGGCCATTGAAATAGGTCCTTGGATCCCAGGCTCACGTAGTAGGTTCCTGTTGGGCTACGAAACGGGAAAGAACATTCAATTTGCGTATTTAGTGCTTGTGACCAATATGTTAGTGCAATACTTTGATTGGACGCAGTGGGCGGCAGTGAGGACGTAGCGATCGTTGATGAGGGCCCCTCCACAGTTGAACACGTTCGTGGATCTTCCCATCCATGCCATCCAGGGATACTTTCTCTGACTGGGAACAGGTGTTCCTCCTATGATTCTGTCTAACTCCGAACTAGTTGCTCGGAGAAGGGATCTCTTCGATGCTTGAGAAACGCCACAAACTGAAAATATGATAGTATGCATTATGCAGCAGAAGTACGGAATTTTCACTCCTAAGGTTGCAAGAACAAATGTTAGCATTGTTGAAGCACCACAAGACGGCGAAGCCGTGCTGGAAGGTCGGATTGTTGCCGTGGTAGAAGTTGGGCGCGTAGTAGATGTCGGTTGTGTCGTAGATGGCCGGGGTGTGGTAGTGGATGGTGCTGCTGTTGTTCCCGTGCCTAGCCGAAACATCAAAATGAGATTTCTTAGGGTTAGCACATGGGAACTGTACGAGGCGAGCAACTGCCTGTACTCGATGTTATGTCGTTAGCATTGTGGTTGCTTCATGGCTTCTCTTACCTCCAGTTGAATGAATTCTACAGGCTTTTTGAAACTGCTAGGAAATGCAAGGAAATTCAGCGAACTGACCGCACGTAACAGTGCATGAGAATCCCGGTCCACGCGACCGATAATTCTGAAATACGACTCTCAGGTATCTCCCGACACTCTTGGGGCTCAGAAGTTCCGTTGAAGATCTGCAGACACTGAAAAAATTTACATTTCCGACGTGACCGTATATTTAAAAATGGCAAAAGTGCGAGTCCACATCGTGATTTTTTTTTTGTTCCTCACATTCTTCCGTTGTAGGAAAAAGTTGACCGCCGACAAGACGATGAGAGTTGGAATGAGGAGCACTGCAGCGTCATGCTCACGGGACACTGCATCAAAATGCGAAATTCACATGCAAATTAGCAAACATGGGGAGATTTTAGGAGATGAATGGAGTTTCGTGACTCACCGAGAACCGCCAGCTGCAAGAATGAAATTCTGGATAATATTGGGGGTAATTGGCGCTGATGAGAGGTGAGGACTGTCCTGATGTTAGACTTGTGGACTGTCCGCAGGAGGGCGTCTGTCGGTTTTCTGAAGGAACAAATATTCAATTGCCTCGTCTGCACCAGACCCTTGGTCGAACGACCAGACACGAAAAGGTAGAATTGTGAACATTTCATTGATGGAACGTTATTGAAGAGTTGAACATTAAAATCATAAAATTTCCAATTTTCAGAAAACGATGAACAACAGAAGTAAAATCAATTGGAAGTGAAGAAAAAGAACTGCTCAGGAAATAATAAAGGTGAGATCCCGCGCCAGTAAAGGTGTCCATGCTTTGCCACCGGACAGCCACCCTTGATGGTTCCATGGCCACCCTCCGGTGCAAATGCCTCTCCCTCTTTCAAGATTGCATCAACTTTTGTATATTTTGCACACGCCCTTTGGCATCACCCCCAGGCGATATTTACGTTCAAATGGGAAATATTTTCAAGGTCACCCTCCAGTCTCACTCTTGGTATTCCATAATCTCCCTTTGGAGATCCATTCTCACCCTTCACGAGTATCACAATCATTCCCCTATAGAGAACACTTATCGTACTAATTAAGTAATTCTCTAATTGACTATAATTCCAATTCCAATATAGCTGATACGTTCCCGATAACTTCATTAGACAAGAACTCCGTACCGGCGATTTCATGCGTATGAACAGCTGATTAATTTATTGATATCTCCCTCCTCCCATTGAAATTTCCCCGATTACCTAAAACGCGCCCATATCAGTGTTGTCTTATCGCTTGATGTGAAACAAATACATTTATAAAATAGATTTCGTATTCGCATGCATCGGTGGAAGCCCGCTTCCTTAAGCGTTCTGCGTCGGCGTCGCTGGTTCCTCTTCGGGCCTCAATCGCTGTCCTTAGGGCAAGTATTGCCAGATGTCTCCCTGCGCTGACTTTCATCTTTTCATAATAATACCACAGGGTTCTAATGGCAATGCATTCCGCTTTGCTGTAAGAAGGGAAAAAAAATCAGATACCGTAAGTAAGAAATCTCAGAGGCGTGGCCTAATTTCTTTGCAGACGACCCACTGGGTTGGCGACTGAGGTGCCATTTCACTTCGGCAACGCAAACCTTAACTTTACACGAATAGCCAGCTGCTTACAGCTGCTTACAATTATGCAGCTGAAAGTGAAAGGGCAGTAGGTTAACATCCATATCAGATAACTGAATAGGCGAGTGATGCACGGGGCCAGGGGAACCTCGATTAAATGAAGCCTCTGGGTAAGATGCAAAACGAGATAAGGAGACGACAAGTTTTCATCTTCTGTCAGTTCCTCCTTCGCAAGATTGGGTAGAAGTTGGTGAGTGTTATGCCTCATGGCTCCTGAAACCTTAATCCGACCGGTTTTTTTTTGCAGTTGAGCCTGAACAACCCCCCCCCCCCCCGGGGGCGAGGATTAGCCAGAGGGGTTCATCCCTCCGGCAGGGGTGAGCATGAAAGAGGTGGGTGAGCACCACGGGGTGAGCATGATTCGGGACTATCAGTTGAAAGGACTAATGCATACCCCGATGATGCTAACATGCATCTACAGTAAGGAGAGCCTGCACGCCCCTGACCCTCAGTTAGTCTTGGAGTGAGCCCCACGCGAAATTGAATGCGGCGCCGTGGAGTTTGTTGTTTACAGTACCTTCCTTAAACGCTCGAGAGGTTTCACATCATCTTTATTTTACATGTTGACACCGTGACACTTAAAAATACTCAAGATTAGTTTTTTTTCTTCCTTTCGAGAAGTCGATGCAAGACCAACGGCGTTCCGAGAAGTGTAAGGACTAACGGATGGTTAAGAGTGTCATGCGAGCCTCTTCGGGAGGGAATGAACGCGTACAGGTGAAAAGGCGCCTCCGAATGTATGCACACTCATTTTTCAACCATCGCATTCTTTCTTCGCTCGAAACTCTACATTTCTACACCCACCCTGATTATTTGCCGAGTGGANTCTGAATTTACACGTTTTTATTATTTATTGCATACAAATTTGCAAACGATTGCGCAAAATTGTATCTTCCGCAGATTGCCATCAGGATGTGTACCATTCGCGAATTAAAAAAGTCCGACTCTAATGACATACAGGTTCTGCTCGAAAACTTGACTCCGGTGGAATCGATACCAACCGTCTCAGGAAGGTGGTGAAGGCCAGAAGGTTCACATTTATAAAGGGCAAGATCATTTTATGAACTCTGATGTTCGACCTTCGCAGTCGAAATTTGTGATTTTCCAGCCGTATCTCTCTACGCAAAATTGTCACGTCGGTTTGCGTAAACAGTTGAATTCGCTCGTATGTGGCCTTCTGCGTCGCCTGGTTATCGGACGCACCTGGTGATGCGTCGATGAAACGAAAATAAGGATGGAAACATGCGAACCACTCGTGGGGAATGACGGGATTGCACGCTCCGTTTAGAGTCTGGCCGACTCCGAACGCACGTGCGACGACGTTGAACGCGGCGGACGGACGGGGCCATTCGATGACTCACTCCGCGCGTGGAGACTCGGGAATAAATTTTGACGCGGCTCCTGTCGCGTCTCACCACCACTGCGTCTCACACCGCGTCTCACACCATAACATCACACCACTCCCAATGTCAACAAGCTTCCCAGGAATCTTACTTAAGTTGAGTTAGGTTGAAGCTGTAATATAAGTTCCTCCTAATTTCTCGTATTTAAAATCAGTATTGACTCCTTGAAGGTCACTTAATGAAAGCATTGTAGCTTGAGGAATTTGTCCATTTTGCTCTCATTCTGAAGAGTTCATAAGAGTTCAGTTCAGGGTACATAAATCCATCTATGGTGCATCAACAAATGGATAGATGCAATTCTCTCTAAATTGGTATGTATTGGTGTTCCTATTTCTAAATCTTCTAATGCTGGGCCTTGGCCAATTCAGCTCAGGGTGAATAAACTATATTTCTCTGTCTAAAAGAAGAGGACAGTTGTTGCAGGTTTCTGGTTAGATACTGAAAAGCCATTCTCTCTGAATCCTTGCTTCATTTCCATGGAGAGCTTCTAGGCTATCCTCAGAAGGATTCAAGAGGAGCTTTGAAGGAGCAGAGACCATATATTGAGTCTTTTCATCATCTGCTTGTGAAATGCATATGCAAGGGCATCTTCTCAGAATATGAAGTCACATTCAGGGACTTTCTCATTTAGGTGGAAGAGCATATACCCAAACCAATTAGGGATCACTCACCATTTCTGTTCCTGAGAAAGTAGAATTGGAGTCAGACAACAGTGACTCTGGCTCTCTCCAAACTTGGCAATCCTGTCATAGCTGATACAGGAAACTCAAGATTCTCTGGAAAAGGCCTAATAACCCCATCTCTAGAGTTCCCAAGCCCAACATTAGGGCTTGGTCTAATGAAGTAACAAATCGCAAGTGTATCACTCATTGTCACTGTCATTGGTGAAGACGGTCTATTCAAGGAGGAAGAGTATATGAGGATTAGCTTTCTTTTCAGTCTTAAGGACTTTTAGGTCCTTATGGCTATTGACTTAGGCCTATGAGCAAGAAATGCTTGCTGTTGTAGCAGATAGGATAAAGGTAGGGCCTATAAAGCCTAGGGCTAGGAACTGAAATCACGTGTGAGGTTCAACACGTCAGCGTCGCACCTATAGTCACTGTAACACGTCAGTAAAACTTGAATCAAACTCACCGCCGCTAAGTACACTTCCACACCCCACGGTTCTTCTCCATGTATCACCAAGCGAGACACTAGATGGCAGTGATGGAGGAAATCCGCCACACCGTGACACAGTCTTATGCACAAAAAAGTTTCGCGATAATAGCTGCAGTAAGAAAATATATTTATGGGTTAAAAGTTATGTAAACTCGGACATACGTTGTATACTACAGAGGATATGACGTTGATGCATAAACAGTTGTCCAATATCGCAGGGTTTTTTTTTCTATAAGCGAATATTCGAATTCTAATGTCAGTAGAGATGTATATTCTAGAGTTCATAAATTCCTCTATACAGACCTCAAGGATATATTTTAGACAACTCCTGCAACTATGAAAATGAGAGACTCAGAGTGAACCACCATAGGTCGAAATGGGTCACCATGGGTCGAAATGGGTCACCATGGGTCGAAACGGGTCGTTATGGGTCGAAATGGGTTGCAATGGGTCGCCATGGGTCACTCTACCACTCTAGGTCAAATTTGGTCCGCTTCAATTTTTGTAAAACTATCACCCACCTGATAATAACACCCAAATTTGGTCAATTGGGCCACTTTGGGTCGTCATGGGTCACTCAGTATCATTCTGGGCCACTTGGATCAGACTTCGAGATTAAGAGAACAAAAGAGTTTCTGAATCAGTTCAGATTAGCTTGTTCCTTTCAGACAATCTTGTCTGGAAAGGATCCCCATGTTATTTCCCTATGATTTCTGACTTTTATTACACCCTGTAGTTTATGAGCAGAGTTAATGTCGTGACAATAGCTTCAGTAATTAGAGCAGATATGTATAGATTAAAAGTTGAGGGAACTTGATCAAACGTTGTATAATACTGAGGATATTACGTTGATACATAAACAGCATCCCTATATTTCGGAAATTTATTTGTCCTATGGACCTCTATTCGGTTTCTTATAGATTCAATAGAGTCTATAAACTCCTCTATACAGTTCTATAGATTTGTATACAACTTTTTCACGTGGACAGAGATGTCACCTCCGTAATATGCAAACGGTGATATGAAATTAACGTAAATTTTACGTAAAATTGACATTCCCGTTTACATCCCCAACAGCATGTTTCCATCCAATTTACGTAAGATTTATGTTAATTTTCCCCTGGCATTCATGCGTATTTAAAGTCAATCAGTACCATTGAAGCGAATTGATATACTGAATCTCCTATTCCTTAGCGTTCTTCTGAACTCTAGGATGGTTGAACGAGTACTCGAGTACTCATCCTCACCAGCACTCAAGAGTACCAAAGTGACCTGCTGCTTCCTCCTCCCGTACCGGAACCTCGGGAGGAGGAGTAGATGTTCAAAGGAGCTCTCTTCTTTTTTTTTGGACAGAGAAGATGTAGTGTTTGTGAGGCTGGGATTCTACGCTTCCCTAATCCCGTGCACTGCTGTAATAAGAAAAAAGCTTAACTTCAGCATTTAATGATTCTCTGAGTCATATATTATAAAAAAATATATAATATTTCCATGTTTTCCATATATATTTTAATGGATTGCATAATAAAAAGTAGGATGGTAAGAAAACCTGATATTATATACGGAAAACCAGTACTTAATAGTAATTGTAGGATGCAGGGAGCAAGGGTTCCATCTAGTGAGGAGTCTTGGTACTGCAACTGCAGGATGGTCAGCTAAAGTTTCACATGGATGGTATGGTGTTAGTTTTTCATAAACTTGATATCATGTACTTCACGTCAGATGGAGTGACGTCTAGTTGATGTAAAATACAGGTACACTTTGGTGACGTAAATATAGGAACGTAAATTTTACGTAAACGTGATGTCATTTTCATGGCAATCGCAAGAAATTTACATTGTTTGCAAAAAATTGATATCTTGTTTACGTGAACATGCTGCTTGGGATGCTCCGTTTACGAATCTGGCAAACTTCAAACGCACCTGTGACCATGCCAAA